CTCTCTCTCTCTCTCTCTCTCTCTCTCTCTCTCTCTCTCTCTCTCTCTCTGTGTGTGTGTGTGTGTGTGTGTGTGTGTGTGTGTGTGTGTGCACGGAGGCACGACCTGTTTTCCGTGCAAGCTTCCATACATAGTCTATACACAACGGCACGGACTGAGCTCCGTGCAAGCTCCACAGGGACGTTCTCCATAGATCCGCCTGGCGGCACCCAACCCATCTCTTTAACTGGTCGGAGGAGCCTCCAAGGGAAGTTTACACTGCATATATATCTATATCTATATCTATGTATCTATATAGATGTTGATATATATATATATATATACATACATATATATATATATCATATATATCGTCAAACAGAGCCTTCCCGGTAAACCGTCGGCAAAGAGGGACAAAAGTTAGAAGAGGACACCAAACGAGGGGCTGTGACAAACTGTTTCGTCGGAGTTTCACGGACAGACTCATCAGGAGGCTGAATCCCCAAGAGAGAGAGAGAGAGAGAGAGAGAGAGAGAGAGAGAGAGAGAGAGAGTAGCCGATTTCCACTTGTCAGGGCGGTCCGTTAGGTCGATTGAAAGCTTTCCTTTTGACAGTCTATGGCCTCTGTTTTTTTTTTTAATCACTATTCTTTTTTTTTCTGGAAAGATTTCCTTATCAAAGCGATGGGCTTTCCTAATAAGGGTAGCTACGTCTACGTCTCTACCCATCCTTAACTCCGCCTGCATGCCGCTCCATCTCCAGGACTTCTACTCGCACCACCCGTTTAGATAAAGTGCCGTTCGCCACTTTCCCCCCCGACCAACCTCTCTCCCCTCCTATTCTCTATGCTTCCCAAGTGCACGATTTCACACCGACCTGTTAGTGAATCCTCACAAATAGAGCAGTAATTAACCCCCCCCCTGGGCGCAAACATGACCAGGTACGTCGGTAAATAGATCACTAAGCAATCCAATCGCCGCTCTTCAGACTTGCGCAGAGTCCATAAAAAAAAAACGTTCCGTGAATAAACGCCCCAGAACGACCTTTTTTTTTTCTTCTTTTTTTTTTCTTTTTTTTTCCTTTCCTATTCCACCATCGATCACGTACTACCGTCTTCACCCGAATAGAACGCCCAGTCATTATCGCTGCATCTGGACAGAAAATGGCCCCAAATACGGCTATAATGACCGGGCGTTATATTCGGCTGAAGACGGTAGCCAGGACTGTCGCTCTCCCTTCAGTATGGAAGGATAATTCAACTGCAGACACCATTCTTTTTCTCGTGTTTTTAACTTTTATTCTTCTTTTTTTCTTTTTTTTTCCTTTTTTTTCGCTTTTTTTTCCTTTTTTGTTTTTCTTTTTTATTCTCTTCTGTTCTTTTTTCCCCCGCTGAACTTCCAGGCGATTCTCTTTTTTTTTTTTTTTTTTTTTTTCACTTCCCAACTACCGGCGTCCCCCGAACACAACGCACCCTAACAATGAATGTATACAAGCTATTTTTATGGTGCGGTACAGCCATTCTGAGGGTGCGTTGTGTTCGGGGGAAAACGGCAGTCTCTCTCCAATCCACCGTCCCAGCTGCCTAACCCCAACAGCCATCCCTTCTGGAGGGAGTTTTTCTTTTCTTTTTTTTTTTTGGACCATTTCTCGACTTATGAGTGTCATCCTTGCGCAGGGGCCATTTGCTAATTTACCCTTCTCTGTATCGTTCCAATGTTAAAAGATGTCCCGAAGGACCTCCTGGCGGAAGAGTTGAAAAAGCCCACGTGGCACACTCTAATTATGGCCACGTCACGTGTCACCTCCACCGCCCTC